CATAAGTAATATGTGTAGGAATGAAACACTTAGAATAGAGATTTTAATAAGTGACAAATAGGAGCGAACCTCTTCTTTACCCTCTTTCGAGTGCATAATGAAGTTTGGTTCAAACTTGGTTAGTTTTTTGGCCTGTCACCCTAGAAATTCTAATTTGAACCCATCAAAGCCTATTTCACTATCTATTTACATTGCCCTATGGACTACTTTGTCTTCACCCACTAGTGTAATGTGGTTTCTCCTAGTGTGTTAAAGTCATAGCTCTAAAGTCATAGCTCTCTCGAGTCATTATGGACTTCTAAGTGCTTTGCTTCTACTGTCAAATTCTTTAAGGAAATGAAGGTGGTGGTTCTTTTAAGTTAATCTTGGTAGGGGAGGCTGGTTTTTTCAAATCCTTAGAAACATGTTCTTTAGATTATTTAGTTTCCAAGGTTTCTTTTTGAACGTTCTCTTTTCAAATGACATCCTCCATCTCTCTTCCACTTCTTAGCTGTACAACTTTAACTTGCTCACTTTTCTTCTCCTTAGGGTTTATCTCAGTGTTGCTGAGAAGAGTTCCTTGGGGTCGATTGCTAAGTGAGTTAGCAATTTGTCCCAATTAATTCACTATATTTCTTATTGCGACACCTTGACTTTGCAGTTGATTTCCCATTTGCAACACAATCTCCTTCAGAGACAACATCTTCTCCTTAAATTATGGATTATTGTTAAAGTCTGGTGGATAAGAAGGTCTATAGTTGGTACTACCCTGGTTATTCTAATTTCCTAAAGGATTCTCTTGTTTATTTTCCCATTATTGGTTTCCCCCATGATAACTATTATTCTAGTTAAAGTTAGGATGGCTGTTCCAACATGGGTTATAGAAGTTGGAATAAAGGTTGTTAGGTTTGTTGTTAATTGCATTTAAAGTCTCAAACGATGAAGTGTTAGAATCACCATTTGCCTAATGAACTTTCCTCAATTATTAGAGATATTTGAGGTTGGTTCAATCCAAGATGATCTAATTTTCTAAAAAGAGCTGCTACTTGAGAAGTAAGAATTGAAAGCATGTCTGTATCATGAACACTAGTTATCTTTCTTAGATTTACCCTTTTAAAAGGCCATTGGAAATTATTTGTAGTCATCTCTTCAATTAAAGATCAAGCTTCATCAAATGACTTTTACATGAGTGAACCACCAGCGATAACGTCAATGATAGATCTAAGTGATCCTACTAACCTATTATAAAAAGTTTGAATGAGTAATTAATCAGACAGAACATGATGCAAGCACTTCCTAAGAAGTTCCTTAAATCTTTTACATGCTTCATATATTGACTGACCTTCATATTGAAAGAAATACTTAAATATCTTTAAATAGCAGTTTTTGAAGGTGAGAAATACTTAGCTCGGATGAAGAAATTTTCTTTCTAAATTTAGCAGTTTTTGAAGGTGAGAAATACTTAGCTCGGAATTTTTGGGCCAAGTCACCTCAAGTTCTGATTGATTTAGGTGCTAATGAATCAACTACATTTTAGCTTTATCCCTTAAGGAAAAGGGAAAAAGCCAAAGTCTACAACATCATTTGACACATCGTTATATCAAAATGTAGTACAAAGTTGTAGAAAATTTGCTCATTGTAAATTTGGATCCTCAGATGAAGTTCCCCCAAATAGGTTGTACTTCACAATTTGGATAATATCAGGCTTCAATTCAAAGTTGTTAGCTTCAACGCCAAGAGTTTAAATGCTTAAGTGAATTTCATATATCGTAGGATTAGCGTAATCCCTTAATGGTCTATGTGCATTATGATGTTCATTAAATGATTATTCTATTGAATATTCGCCATTTCTTTTATGAATTGGTAAAGTACTTTCTATTTTCTAATCCTTATAATTTTCTCTCTAGTTCTTAATCGTAGAGTACAAGTCTCGAAGATCCTGCACTATGTATACACAACTAAGGGTTCAATGAGTAAATCTCATTAAAATACACTAAACAAAAACTCAAATATAATAATGTTGTTGTTATTTTATTTTTTTCTTATTTTTTTCATTAATTAAATAGAAAACACTTACTCAAAGAAACTACAATATGATTGTCCATATATAAGTCTAATTAACTCAACTAAATTTTCCTAGGTCAAATACACCATCACACTTCTCTAACAATGACGCTAACAACTTGAACGACGTTGTTTAACCTAACACATATGGATGAACTATTTGAAAAATCTTAAATATGTATATAAATTTTAGAACTTGCGTTTAACAACAATGAAGCATTGCACACTAGGATATTCACGTAGGTATAAGTATCGTTCAAGTAATATGAAAATGTTGAGTTTGGATTATTGATCTCATAGTGAAGGCTATGATTTAAATTTAAGAAAAGTTATAGCATACTATAATGATTCTTAGCTTGGAAGTATGGTTGATCCAAGTTATGTTTGTTAATCCTATTAAACTATCACTAATTATATCGAAATACTCTTAAGTTAATTATACTAAAGCTAATTAAATTGAGAAAGATCAAGATATAAAATCTAATCTTCCCTTGTAATGACATAAGTAATGTTTGTAGGAATGGAACACTTATAATAGAGATTGAAATAATAACAAATAGAAGCAAACCTCTTCTTTACCATCTTTCAAGTGCATAAAGAAGTTTGATTTAAACTTGGTTAGTACTTATGCCTGTCACCATAAAAACCCAAATTTAAACCCATCAAAGCCTGTTTCCCTATCTATTTGCATTGCCCTATGAACTACTTTTCCTTCTCCCATTAGTATAATGTGGTTTCCCCTAGTTGTTCAAGCCACAACTCTCTAGAGTCATTATGGATTTACAACAAACTTTAACATATCACTTGACCAAAGTGATAAGTAAATTAAGAACAAAGAAAAACTGTCATTTTAATGATTAAAATCCTATTCTAAATATAACCAACTACCCTACACATACTACTAATTCATCACAAGAGAAGGGTATAAAGGATCTACTCACAGTGCTTGAAGAAAACACTACAATTAATCATCTCATAATAAAGTAAATTCATTAAAAATGAATTTACAAATAATACAAGACAATGTAAAATGAAACAATTAACTTTCTCCTTGAGAAAAAAATGAAAACTCCTCCTCAAGTGATCTCCAAATGTTCCTTGCACTAATAACAATATTCCTTTGCAAAATTCTCTCAAATCTCTCTAAGAAAATGCAGAAAAATGTAAACCTATATCTAAACTCTCTTTTTCTGCACCCTTAGACTTTCTCTAAGTCTTCTACACTGATCCTCCTCTCATTTAAACTGCCTTACTGACTTCTTAACTCCTAAATTCATGCATAATCAACTGCAGAAACCGTATCGGACAATTTTGGCGCCTAGGAACCAGTGGACTGGTGCCAAGGCGCCACCACCCTATTTACATGGATAATGGCTGGTGCCAAGGCCCCATTGTCTCTGTTTTCTATATATGACTAAAGCTTAGGCGCCGTTGGACTGGCACCAGGGCCCCAGAGTAGTGCGCCTTGGTGCCCAAGGGCCCACGGCTGGCGCCCAGGCCTATGTGCTGAAAGCATCTTATTCCCTAAGTGCTCCATTTCGCTTTCGTTTCACTCCATCTTTCAATCCAATCATTCTACACGTTATGCCTGCAATAAAAACACAAAAAAATATCTCTCTTTAAAGTGCAAATTGATAAAAAATAAGTGCTAAATGTAAAGAAAATTGAGCATGCTACAATACATATCAATATTATTATGGTGTTATTAATATTATGGTATGGTTTTAGTGCCATACATATGTGATTTTACAGTGGTGTTATTAGTGTCTTCGTATGGTGGTGTTATAGTGATACAAATGTGGTTGTATTGTGGTGCTATAATTGCTATAGTATGAATTTATTATCATACAAATGTTGTTTTATAGTGGTGTTATTAGTATCTTCGTATTGTGGTGTTATTGTGGTATAAATGTGGTTGTATTGTGGTGTTATTAGTTTAATGATATGGTGTTTTTGTCTTACAAATGTGGTTATATAGTGGTGTTATTGATGTGGTCGTGTGGTGGCGTTATTAGTGCAGTATTATGGTGTTGTTGTGATACAAATGTGATTATATTATGGTGATATTAGTGCTAAGAAATTGTGTTATTGTCATATAAATATGGTTTTACAGTGGTGTTATTAGTGCATTATTGTGGTGTTATTGTGATATAAATGTGGTTGCATTGTGGTGTTGTTAGTGTTATGGTATGGTGTTTTTGTCATACAAATGTGGTTGTAGAGTGGTGTTATTAGTGTTGTCGTATTGTGGTGTTATTGTGATACAAATGTTGTTGTATTGTGGTGCTATTAGTGTAGTATTACGATGTTAATGTTATACAAATATGGTTATATAGTGGTGTTATTAGTGAGGTCGTATTGTGGTATTAATAATGTGGTTGTGTGGTGGTTTTATTGTGATTCAAATGTGAGGTTATAGTGGTGTTATTAGTGTGATTGTAACGTGAGGTTAATAGTGTGGTTGTATTGTTGTGTTAGAAGTGCAAATGTGATTGTATTTTGATATTATTAGTGAAAATATGATTGTATTGTGGTGTTATTAGTGTAATGATATGATGTTATTGTTATACAAATGTGGTTGGTGTTATTAATGCAGTCGTATTGCGGTATTATTGTGATACAAATGTGGTTGTATTGTGGTGTTATTAGTGTAATATTATGATAGTATTGTGCTATTTTAATGATAGTATTCTAATGTTTAGCTCATGATAAATCCTACAACCACAATATTATGGTGGCAAGACTTGTCTCAAAAAACCTAAACATTACAAGACTTGCATGATGAAAAAGACTACGAATGCTTCTCGTCCTATGACCCACACAATTATGAATTTCAAACGAATCATTCTCTAGCTACCAAAATGACAGGTTAGAAATGCCCGCCGAAATTCTACCCTAACGTGCAAAACTTTTTTTTGGATGCTATTGGCTGATTTTGGCCGAAATATGCCCAGTACATATCTTTTTCATGTGTCAAAATATCATTCATGCGGCAAAATGTCATTGGAGCCTAGCTTCGTCCGAACAATATTTTCTCCTCGTGCAGCGGATTTATCCCGCTCAGGTACCCTGCATGCTGGCATAGGTTTGCTCCTCGCGTGTATCCCTCGCCTCCGTTAACGGAACCTTGTAATGGCACTCCAATTTCAGTTCCCATTCTCTCGCCATTATCCAGCACGCCCTTCCTCAGTATCCAACCCGCCCCATGTGTTCAAATTGTTTCCGATAGCTCATTGCCGGCAATTCCCGACTCGATCCCGCCAGCGCTCCGCATGTAAGAAGCTTTTTTTCTACCGTATACCCTAGCATAAATTCCATTTTTTTATGCCTTTAGAATCACTTGTATCTGTAGTAAAATTAATTGAAGAAAGCTTCATCGTCTCCTTCAGATGTTAGACTTGGACCGATGGACAGAGCAGCTTTAAAGCCGGTTCAGATACATTGCATTAGCCATGAAGAAGGAAGACTTGAGGTTGTGGCTTGAAATTGCTGAAGTTGAAAGGAGTAACAATCATGTATTGTTACAAATGTATAACTATGATCAGCTTGTTATTAGAGTTGTGTTTATGGGCAGGGCTCTGGAATTGTGAAGGATAGAAGTGTTTCAGTGATTCTTTTGGCTGGAGGCAAGGGGAAGCGGATGGGGGTAGGGTAACATTACTCTTTTTTCCTTCTAACTGCTGAACATTTCGAACATGAAACTAGGCAAACTGATGTTTTATAAGCCCACTGCGTTTTTTGTGCGGTACAATAATACCCATTGATAAGGGCATGCTTGAGAATCTTTCAATTATTAGATAAATTTTTGTTCACTAAGATTGAGAATGGTTCCAAATTAGTGAATTTGCATTATTTCTTTCTAAGTTTCCTTTACAAATGCGGTGGAGTTGAAATTAATAACTTTGATTCTTAATACTGCCTAGTTCCAAATTAGTGAATTTGCATTATTGAAGTGGGGAGATATTTAGGAGATTTGGGAGTTTCTTGGCTTACTAACTCTTTAATATTATTTTAAAAACTAAAAAGATGTCTGAGGAGTGGAGAAAGAGTATTTTGGTCCCCATTTTTAAGAATAAAGGGAATACATAAGAGTGTGTGCAAATTATAAAGGAATTAAGTTGATGTGTCATACTTTAAAGTTATGGGAGAGGGTAATTGAACATATGTTAAGACATATTACAAAGATTTCTCATAATCAATTTGGATTTATGCCTGGCAGGTCTACTATGGAAGCTATACATTTATTGAGAGGTTTGATGGAGAAGTTCAGAGATAATAAGGAGAATCTACACTTGATTTTTATTGATTAAAAAAAAGCTTACGATAAGTTTCCAAGAGATATCCTTTGGAGAGTTATCGAAG